TCAAATGAATCTGGAATGTTTAATTGTGAAAGCGCTTGTATAGCTGCATCAAATTGCTCGAGAAATGAATTTATTTGTGAAGATGTAATGGTTTTAAACGATAAAAGCTGTTTAAAGTAAGTGGTGGCTAAATATCGTTTATTCTGGTACTTCTTCAGAAGTTCTTCCCATAGTTCATAGTTATTCGCAGTTGATAATATGGACTGAAACAATTTTAATGGCGGACTCTCTAACGCACCTTTTAAAAAATAAAATTTTGGATACGTTATCTAATCCTGTATTTCCATGTATTAATGCTTTGTAAGTTTCATAAAATAAAAGCCATTGTTGTAAATCACCGGAAAATTTTGGAATTTCTATAGATGGTAAATGATGTTTGGGAACACTGCCCGGTATTGACGAATTACACATATCTTGGTTATCCAACATTTTTTCTACATGCTTGATCTTTGCGTACAAAGTTTCCAAGGTCCTTATGTCGGCATACTCAGGTACAAAACTCGAATCATCTAAATGTCTTAATTTGTTTATTTCGTCGCTTAATTTTATGCATTGTTCTCGTGCATTCTCAATAAGGTATAAATTTTCAAGAAATTTTAACTTACTTGACGTTATTGGTGGTAATTTGTTGAGAAATGTCATACGTTTCTTGCATTATTGAAAAATACATTTTGCTCTTAGCTGTCAATCGGTTAATCTCTGCACCCACGTCAAATTTAGGTGCCATCTTGGATTTTATTTCTTTAATATATTCAATAAATCCTAATCAAAATTAGGATCCGGCGTCGAAAGACCAATGTTACGGTTGGTTAGACCCCTTCGGAATAGCTCTTGAATTTGACTTAATATCTATTCCGGGGATTTGGTATAATTAAATATATTAAGTAAAAATACTCGACGTTCTCTGCTTGGTCGGCGGCCCAGTCGTGGCTTCAAGTCTGGAATTCTCAGATTGCTATAAGGAATGGATACTGAGGTAGGAGTTGACTACAGAAGCACAATAAGAAACACTGAATGAGATTATTAACGTATTTATTTACACAAATAACATCGAACACTCGGAAAATTCAACAAAACTCATACGGAACACAAGTGAAATGGCGCAAGTGACAAGCGAAACGGCGAGAGCTTGTTCACCCGTCAGATTAGCGATTATATTCAAAACCCTCTTCTTTTCGGTATTACTAGAGACTAAGTATTGCCCGAAAGGTGCGAAAAGACTTATACAACGAACCAAAAATATTGGTGCCAAATCGTAAGATATCTGACACAGGGTGCGCAAAGACTTATACAACAAACCAAAAATATTGGCGCCAAATCGTAAGATGACTGACACAACGTGCGCAAAGACTTATACAACAAACCAAAAATATTGGCGCCAAATCGTAAGATGTCTGACACAGGGTGCGCAAAGACTTTTACAACGAACCAAAAATATTGGCGCCAAATCGTAAGATGCCTGACACAGGTGCGCAAAGACTTATACAACGAACCAAAAATATAGGCGCCAAATCGTAAGAGGTCAGACACATCGTGCGCAAAGACTTATACAACGAACCAAAAATATTGGCGCCAAATTGTAAGATGTCTGACACAGGGTGCGCAAAGACTTATACAACGAACCAAAAATATTGGCGCCGAATCGTAAGATGTCTGACACAGGGTGCGCAAAGACTTATACAGCGAAACAAAAATATTGGCGCCAAATCGTAAGATGTCTGACACAGGGTGCGCAAAAATTATTTATGATTAAATCAAATGTTCTCGACATTTTCGAAAGTACGGAATAACCGATTTGAATAATTCAAAAAACATTCCATTCGTATTGATGAGGAGATATGCTGATTTGTTTTTGGCAACGGCAGGTCTAGCCGTTTCAACGATATGGGACAATAAGAACCAAAAATCGTAATTCAGTTTTTGAGAGAAACGTTCGATTTGAATAATTCAAAAAACATTTTATTTGTATTGACTAAACAAAGAACTTTTAATTTTTTGAAAACGCAGGTAATTTTGAAGTTTATTTATATGATTCAAATAAATGTCCTCGACATTTTCAACAGTATGGGATAACCGATTTTTATTATTGAGAAAACATTTGAGTCATACTCGCGAGGCCTTTTTGCAAAGGGCACAGCTTGCAAAAATGGATTTTCCAAATATTCTAAAACGTTTGCTTTTTGTCCTAGTCCCGCACGCACTCTATCATCAGACGCTGAAATGTGGCACGCTCGTTTTTTAAACCGAGCGATATACGCTTAAAATTATAGAGCCCGAACTGTGTCGAAAAAGCCGTTTTGTCGCGATCTTTCTTTCAAACGCAAATTTGCCAATATTCAGAACTTCAATCTACGGTAAACATAAATTTGATTTGCATGCCGCGTGCAGAAAATCGTCTATTTGTGGTAGCGGGTATGTATCCGTGATGGTCTTTGCGTTTAATTTACGATAATCGACGCACAATTGCGATTATCCGTCTTTTTTGGGTCCCAATACTACGGGTGCAGCTAACGAGAATTAACACTGTTCAATAATATCTTGTCTTCGGCTTCTCCTTTCGCCACGGACTCCTGCATAATTACGTGTTCAAAGCAATGGTCTGTTTCCTTAAAAACCGCGTACAGGTTCGCAACTGCCAAACTTCTGCGTGCACTGGTGTCTAAGTAACTTGCTCCAGTGGACCCTTGTATAGACATTCGGATTACGGGGCGTAAAAAGATACTTGCAATAGGTAATACTACAAGATGTTGGTTTCCTCACTAACCAGTCGCTCTCAGCTCTCATAAATTTTAATATCTAAATTATATTTTTCTTACTAATAATTCTATATACATTATTACTTAAATTTATATTTGAAGTGAATTAATTTGTCAAATTATGTTTACATGTGCTCTATTTAACTTATGATCCACAAAATTAATGCAGTAAATGGAGATGAAAAGGCATGTACCCTTCAATTTTTTTTACTGTGCTCCAATTTGCTTTAATCATAATCTTAAGTTTAGAAGTAAAAACAATATGCACTCCGTCACCACCCCCCGCATTAATTGGATTATAACTTTTTTAATTCTGATTTTATCAGAACTTGTAATATACTATCTTAAAGATAATTAATTGAGAAACAAATTTCTCTATCAAAAATTTTACCGTAACTTTTTTCATTTTGAAACGGCAAGGGGTTAAAGGACTCGAAAGACACTCTGGTTGGACAGCCGCGTGAATCAAATTTTCATCTATATACCTTTAAACGTATTTTTTAATATTTCTGAAATATAATATTGATTGTTATTTTTATGGATTTTTTTTTTTTTTTTGAGAAATAATGAGTTTTTTGAAAATCTTTTATACTAAAGTTGTGGTATTTTTTAGAATCTATCAAAATCTCTTAAACCAAGTTAATTCTAGATGGAATATGATTATTTTTTTATTTTGGTGGAAATGGCACTCAGAAACTATTTGATTTGAATGAAAAAAAAAATGTATGCGTTTTTTATTTGCATCACTCATTTTACACGCAGAAGTACTCGTTTTAAAACTTATTTTGAGTACTATAAAACCCCATGTTCATATATAGCCTAATATTGTTTATAGAATACTTTATATTTTATATTTAATACTTTATATAATTTTGTATATTACATATTTTTGTTAGAAGGTATATTTTTGAAGAAATTAGCAAAAAACGATGAAAAACGTAAGAAATAAACGAATTTTCAGTAGCCAGTAACGTAAAAGTATTTGCTTCTTTGAAAAACATTATTAACGTTTTTCTCTTATAATTAGTTCTTTTATCGATATCCGAAGTTATTTTGAAAAAAGTAAAATTACACCTCTGAGAAGAAATGTCATCCGCCCGGGAAGTAGCAAAGGAGTCTAAATTATTTTCACTTTTAAACTTGACAGTAAGATGAACTTAATTCCAAAATTTTATACAAATTGAAGCATAGTAAAAAAAATCTGACCCGAAACGCTCCATTGACTTGAGTAAATATTCCGTATCCAATGCCAAACCTATGAATTTTTGACACAATGAAACTTCTAAATAATATTTTGAATAAGTATTTTTTTGTATTGTGATTTAGTAATGTAAGTCAAAACACGGCTGCATTAGTTAAAAAATAATAATCTGTCAAATTAATTTTAAAAGGTATATTCACTGACAGTCCATAGCCGCCAGGCGCATGCACGGACTGTTCATGTGCCGAATATATAATGTGTGCTTTTTGGCAATAATAATGTAGACATTACATATTTCTTATTCATAATCATAAATATATTATATTTTAATATTGTGTTAGTCTATAAGTGAACTGAAATGTTTGGCAAATGACAGACTTCATTTGTTTTTAATGTCAAACAATGCCTTTGATATTTCCAATGTCAAACAATGATATGCGTTTTTTTTGTATTTTTTTTTCATTTATTTCTACAATCTAACTATTATATATTTCTATTATAAATCAAAAAAATCTAAAAAAATTTCTTGACAACCTTCAGAAAGATTTATCAAAATCTGAATAATCGTTTATGAGGACTATCCATTCATACACCATAAAGAATTTTATATATAAGATAAGGAACAAGTCCAAAAAATGTCTTGAAATTGAATATACCACCATAAAGAATTTTATATATAAGATAAGGAACAAGTCCAAAAAATGTCTTGAAATTGAATATACCACGATTCAAGTCCAAAAAATGTCTTGGAATTGAATATACCAAATATACATGGTATATATTATACGTATTTAGTATGCCTATGAATTTAATTTGAATATGTAAAATTTATTATTTTATTCTATTTGTATTTTCTCATTGTCTATACGACATTCTCACTCACCCACAATAAGTTTAAATTGGCTTCCAATAATTGATGTGAAATATTTTGGCTACTTTGAAAACTAAAACATGGTATAACAATTTCTATCGGACAAGTTGGTTTGTTGAAACATACATATAAATTTTAAAATGCAAATTAGTAAATTATATATTATTCATACCTCTGAATTGTCCTCATTAGCATTTGCACTGCATACAAATTCACGTAAGAAACCATCCAATTCAGATCCTTCAATGTAACCATTTCCTATAAAAATAAATTGACGTAAGTAATGGATTCTTTTACTGTATTTTTTATCGGCTATATAATATGATCCAAACTTAGAATACTACTACATGTTGAACAAATAATGCAGAATTTAATAAAAAATGTGTTCATTGCGTCGTTAATTGGCGTGTTATTTTAGAATGTATTGATTATTAAAACAAGTTGTGTATGGCATCGTGCCTTAAGGCAAATTGCTGGAACTCCCGTACCGTAACGAAATGTTCGAGGAATATTAAATGTTTCTAAATGGATTATTATAAACACTATAACATTGCCTAATATTTATAAGAAATACATAAACTGATTTGCAAAGTGAAAATTATTTATTAACTTCCATATTTATTAAATAGAGTAAGTTGTTGTAATCGTTCTAAAATCGAAATTGATTTTTACATTTCTTCACGTTTCGAAGGTTTGTGAACATTTTGGCATACCTCATAAAAAATGGATGTGTGTGTGTGTATGTATGTATGGATAGAAATTTTCGTCCTTTTTTCTGGCGCACGGATCAACCGATTTGAATAATTCAAAAAACATTCGATTTCTATTGATACGGAGATGTGCTGAATAGTTTTTGGTAAAGGCAGGTCCAGCCGTTTCGGAGATACGGAGCAAAGAATGCAGAAAATTGAAATCGAGTTTTTGAGAGATCGGAGCATCGGATTTGAATGATCCAAAAAACATTTAATTGGTAATGACGGGCAAAAGTGGTGATTGGTTCTTGGCAAAGGAAGGTCTAGCGGTTTCGGAGATACAGAGCTAAATATGCAAAAAATGGCAGTTTTTTAGAGAACTAAGCGTCTGATTTGAATGATTCAAAGAACTTTCTACTTGTTTTAACAAAATAATTGATTTTGAGAAAAAAAATTGTTTCAATTCCCGTAGAGTAAGTTATTGTAATCGTCCAAAAATCGAAATTGAAAATTTTTGCATTTCTCGACGTTTTGAAGGTTTCTGAATATTTTGGCATACCTCAAAAACATGAATGTGTGTGTGTGTGTATGTATGTATGGATACAATTTTTCGGTCACTTTTTCGGGCGCACGGATCAACCGATTTCAATGATTCAAAAAGCATTTGATTCCTATTGATAGGGAGATGTGCTGATTAGTTTTTAGTAAAGGCAGGTCCAGCAGTTACGGAGATAAAGAGCAAAAAGTGCAGAAAATAAAAATCGGTTTTGAGAGAATAGAGCATCCGATTTGAATGATCTGAAAAACATTCAATTATAAATGATTGGGGGAAGTGGTTATTAGTTTTTGGCAAAGGCAGGCCGAGCCATTTTGAAGATACAGAGCTAAATGTGCAAAAAATGGCTGTTTTTGAGGGAACTAAGCGTGCGATTTGAATGATTCAAAGAACTTTCAGCTTGTTTTAACAAAATAATTGCTTTTGAAAAAAAAAATTGTTTCAAAAAATCTCTATTCTATTTACTAGGTATAGGACGTTACATATGTGCACTTTCGCACGGCACAAAATGACATCATTTTTTTGTTTTAATTCAAAGATTTGACTCAAATGGCTCATGGTGAGGACTATTGCCACAGAATGATATTTTCCAAACCAATTTTGACAATTTTTAGGAATGTTATCAGTTCTAGTTCATTTTGAGTTAGACCATTAGCGTTCCAAAGTGCGATTCTATCAAACTTCACCATCAGTGATATAATTCATATAATAATGTAAGTATATGTAGTACCATACTATTTTGCTGAATTGGCTGGTTGAACATGTTTTTAAACTCATTTAAGAACTGCGTAAGATTAGTCATTATGTTTGATTCCGTATTACTATCTTCATTGTTTACTACCTGAGCAAAAGTTCTATTTTGATGGTTATTTGAATACAAATTATTATATTTATTCGAATTAGTTGTGGATTGCTTACTGTTATTCATATATTGACCCGTAGCTGGTGTAGGTACAGTGGATTGTATTGGAAATCGTCTGTTATATAAATTTTTGTACGTCGAACAACCACGATAATTCGGGCGTGGGGCTGTTCACAATTGTGGCAGAAATATGGAATATTATACGGTTTTTGGCAATCTGCCGTTTTATTCGAATCATCGCATCTTGAACACACATATGGTCTGAAGCAATAACCTTTTGTGTGTCAGTACAATTCACATCTTTTACATTTAACGATAGTTTTGTTATTTTTTGGAGGTTCGATTCTAATTATGTTATTTATTATTTTTGTATATATCTTTATTTTTCTTGGCCGGCTCTAAATCTAAACTAGTGGTGTAAGGCATCGTACCTTAAGGCAAATTGCTATATTTTTTACCGTACGGTAACGAAATGTTGGAGCAGTATTAAATGTGAAAAATAGATTATTATACATTCTGTGAGATTGTCTTATTATTATAAGAATTATATAAACTGAATAACAATGTTAAAAATATTTACTTAAGGTGTATAAGTGAGCTTTAGAACTTTAATCAGAATTAAAATTGAAATCTGATTTATTTATCTGCTTTGTATCTCCGAAATGGCTGGACCTGCCTTTGCTAAAAACTAATCAGCACATCTCTCTATCAATAGGAATCGAATGTTTACTGAACCATTCAAATCGGTTGATCCGTGCGCCCAAAAACGTGAACGAAATAATGCGGACGAACAAAACACACACACGAAATAATGCGGACGAACAAAGTCCATTTTTTCTGAGGTATGCCAAAATGTTCAGAAACTTTCAAAACGTGAAGAAATGCAAAAACTTTTATTTTCGATTTTCGTCTCATTACTATAACTACCCTAAGGAAAGCTAATAGAATAAATTTAGTGGTATGTTTGTATTACGGCTGCGGATGTTAGTAATACTTCTAACTTTATGCCCTAAAGTCTCAAATGGAGTCTTGGTGTCATTACCTTTCGTTGTAAAATTAATATATTTTATTACCACTCTATGTGCTCTTTCCTCCTTCAGCTGGTACGTGTAATAAACAATTTTTGTATCTTTTTAATATTTTGATAGTTTTCGAAAAATATCCGAACTTGAGCACAAAATTTTAACTACATTATTGGCTAACGTACGATAAAAATAATAATCATTCGTAGTGACTATTTTATTAATTTCTGTAAACATATCGTTTAAATCTTTAATTTAGTAGATAAATATAGGTGGTGGACAATAAAATTTTATAAACTTTAACTACTGTTTATGGATTATACACATACTTATAGAGACTTATAATTCATTACAGTACGGGTGTATGGCATCGTGCCTTAAGGCAAATTGCTGGAACTTCCCGTACCGTAACGAAATATTCGAGGAATATTAAATGTTTTCAAATAGATTATTATAAATATTATAACATTGTCTAATATTTATAAGAATTATATGAACTGAATTGCAAAATCATTTTTTGAATTTGAAATAATTTTTTTTTCAAAATCAATTATTTTGTTAAAACAAGCAGAAAGTTCTTTGAATCATTTAAATCGGACGCTTAGTTCTCTCAAAAAATGCTATTTTTTGCACATTTAGCTCCGTATCTTCGAAATGGCTGCACCTGCCTATGGGAAAAACTAATAAACACTTCTCCCAATCATTACTAATTGAATGTTTTTAGATCATTCACAACAGAAGCTCCGTTCTCTCAAAAACTCGATATCTATTTTCTGCACTCTTTGCTCTTTATCTCTGCAACTGCTAGACCTGCCTTTGCCAAAAACTAATCAGCACATCTCCCTATCAATAGGAATCGAATGTTTTTGAACCATTTAAATCGGTTGATCCGTGCGTCCGAAAACGTGACAGAAAAATTGTATCCATACATACATACACACACACACATCCATTTTGTATGTCAAAATGTTCAGAAACCTTCAAGACGTCGAGAAATGTAAAAATTTTCAATTTCGATTTTCAGCCTATTACAATAACTTACCCTACGGGAAGTTAATAAATGACGGCATGCATACCTATAAAAAAATAACTATGCAATTTTGGTTATTCATAATATGAGTAAGTATTGTTTTATTCATTCAATTTACATTATTTTATAAATTATTTTAATCTTGTTCTTATATTAAGTGCTTTTTTGCAACAATAGTGCTGACAATACATTGCTAAAGTAGAATTTTAACATGTTAAGTGCTCTAAGATACAAATTGTAAGTAAATTGAATTATACAAATGTCATTTGAGACTGTGTTTTTTTTATTTTTCCTTTATATTATTTTAATACTTTTACCATTGCCATGTGATATTTAACAAGTATTGGCATTTAAGTATAAATTTCAAATATTGTTTGAACTGTCAATTGTCAACAATTTTTTTAATTTCCCGAAGAAGAAGTTTATGTTTTTATCAAAAAATACGATTCGTTAATTTTATGTTTTCTCGACGTTTCAAGCCATTCTGAATCGAATGAGACCAAATTTGGAAAAAGTATGTGTGTGTGTATGTGTTTGTGTGTGTGCGTATATGTGAACAGATTTTTTGCCGTAAATCGACGTTTTCTCGAAAACGGTTGGTTTCTCGAAACGGCTAAAACGTTTCTTTATAAATAGCAGAAAAGTGAAACAAAAGTTGTCCACGTTTTAACCCGCAATTCAGAATCGATTTTGAAAATTCAAAAACCGTTCGAAAGATATTGGTTGGAAATCGTGCTGATTAGTTTTTGGTGAAGATCGGCCGGGCCGTTTTCTTATAATAAGGTGTTAAAAAAAAATTTCGACGATTTTTATTTTTTTTTTGACGGTAGATACCATAGTCTTCTAGATCATACTAAAATATTGCGGCCCTACAACAACTAGCTTAACTTTTAAAATCAGTCAAAGTTTGCGAAAATTGGTATCGTTTTTTTGGCATTTGTCAAAATTAGACCTTTCATCGACATTTTCTCAAAAACGCCTGAACTGATTTCAGAAATTTAAATGCCATTTGATATATCTCGATGAGGACTATCATTTGTCAGTTTTGTGCAACGGTCTGCCAAGCCGTTTCTCTTTATAATTTAAAAAAATGTGT